CTGGGAGACCAAAGGGTCTGAAAAACAAATTAATTCTGGTGCACAGTCAGTAGCAGACTGTTTTGGGTGCAACTACAGCAACTTTGTTTGCAACAATAAGAATCTGAGTTGTTTTCTTTTCCTCTTTCCTTAACTTCTGTACAGTAAAGGTGAGGAGTAGCTATTGAATTACTTCTTCCTATATGCTGTTAGCCAGATTAGCATTGATTTCAAAACAAACCTGAGTGGAATGGAAAGCCACACCATTTTGGTATCACTAGCAAAGTTCTAAATTTATAGTTACACTTCAATAAAACCTTTTGCTGCAGTCTAGAAGAAAAAGAAAATTATCATAACACCAGACTAGTAAAATTCATTAGTTAGAGCACAACCCCATTACCTGTGTGATGAGCAAAATTCATTTCAGCATTCAGGATTTACATTTTAAAGCTAACAGACAGCAGATCTAGTGCCATCCATAGGAACAGACTAACTATAATACTGAATTTGGTACAAAGATCTAATACCAGCAAACTTGGTCAGTTTCAAGTAGAGCTACCTTGTGGGGAAGAAAGAGCTAAGTCAGAGTGTGCTCATTTTCTGCACTATCCTTCAACATTTAAACCTGGGATCTACAGAAATCAACCACATTGGGTAAAAATCACTTAGCAGCACATCATCTATTATAGAAATGGACAGAAGCAGAGCATCCACTGAATGGGCTACAATATGGAGAATGTGTAGAAAGTGCCCTGAATTTAAACTATTTATTAAAGAGTGGGGACATGAATAGAGAATATCACCGCAATTTCCACAGCTCGGCCCTGGACTAGAAGGTAGCAAATTGTTTCTGAAACTGAAGCGAGTTTCCAAAACTACCTGTGGACATTCAGCGGATCCTTCATCTCACGTTTATTACGTGAAGTACAATAGATTCTCACCAGATTAGAACAGACAAAGCAGAGATTTGCGTTTGGCTTGTTAGGTAAATGCATTTTCTCCAGTTGTAGAAAGACTCTTCCACCAACATAAAGTCCTATGCAACAAAGAAAATGTCAGTACATTTGCTTAGTCTAATTATTACTTTCACTAGATAGCCAATTTTTTACTACAATTCAAATAAGATGAACACAATGGGTGGCTATTTATAAAGAAGAGTAATAAAGATTATCATTTGGGGCAATAAAAGAGAGAGAGATTCAGCAAACAGCTGCTTACAAGTGGAAAACTTAGTGAAACTACAGTGACCCCCTCCTTGACAGGATCAATGCCACAGTTGAGCTTTAGCCAGCCACATCATCATGTAAATTGCTTTCCTGATAAGCCAGCTCATAAATTCTGTTTGCAAAGCTCTGCTATTTACCAGAAGTCTGCCTATAGACAGAAAGATGGCATTTAATGGTACTTGGAAAGTAGAGAAAAATGAAAACTATGAAAAATTCATGGAAGCGATGGGTAAGCCTTACTTTTTGAAAGCCGGAATACAAACTTAAGCTGTTCATGAACTACCATCGGGCTGACCTGGCCTTTGCTGTCTGCTACTTTGCCCTTGCATGTTGCCCTGCATTTATTTTCAAAAGATTCTATAGAGGGGAATACAGGGTAGAAAAACACTGATTTGCACTAATTCCAGTAGAGGTATTTCAGCAGAATCTCCACGTCCACATTTGTGGAAAAGGCTCAGAGAATTTGCATGGTAAACTTTAAACGGAATTATATGTAAGGAATATTATTTTGATCAGACTGTTTGAAAAATTACACAAGAAGGAAATTGTTGGTCTCCAGTTTTGCAGAACACGTGATTTGAGTAATTTTAACATTAGTGCTTACTTTAAGCTTGTACAAACTGTATGTAATATGGATATAAACAAAATCATCCTAGTTGGACGGTGGTTTGTATTACAGGCACACTGCTGAACGCTGCCTCAATGAAAGGTGGAGAAGAGTAAGAGTGAGTTAGAATTCTGGGCTAAGCTCCCTCAACTAAAGAAAAAGTCATGAAAAAAATGCAAAAATGATGTTCTAATTTGTTTTTCTCTGATTGATGTTAACTGATTTTTTTTTAGGTGTTAACATGATGAAAAGAAAGTTAGGAGCCCATGATAATCTGAAGATCACAATTCAGCAAAATGGAAATAAATTTCTTGTCAAAGAATCAAGCAACTTCCGTACCATCGACATTGAATTCACTCTGGGAGTCAGCTTTGAATACAGTCTGGCTGATGGGACTGAACTTTCAGTAAGAGACTTTTGATATCATTATATATTCATTGAATAGCAATAACTTTACAAAGTACAGTTTCAAGATTAATGACCTGTCTTCCTAAGTTCCAGTTTAAACTTGGCCTTAAGGTCTGACAGTCCAGGAACGCTTGCACCCTATATACAAAATCACAGATTAGCCTTAACTGTTAATGGTTCAGCATTGCGACAGGAAGCTCAGGGATCCATACAGTGCCCCAAAAAGCAGAGCATCCAGCAATTTTCACATGCTGAAATCCAGGCAATTGCAAACTTTACTTCTTACAATACCCAAGTACACCATCTAGAGCACAGTGTGGGTATCTGTAAGAAATGAACCATACTAACAGAGAAAGAGATCACCTGAGCCTGACAAAAGAGCAGTTAAATAAGCTTTTTTCTAATATTTAATTTTTTATAGCCTTTCCAATTGTGTCCTAAAAAACATTATTACACTGTTTTAATCTCATCTTAAAGCACTTCTGCAGCTGTTGAATCAAATCAGTGCCGTGTTTATTGCAAAACATTTGTGGGTTGTTTTTTTTTTTCCATTGTAGGGTTCTTGGAACTTGGAAGGAAATAAACTCGTAGGAACATTTACTAGAAAAGATAATGGAAAAGTACTCACAGCATATAGAGAAATTGTAGGCAGTGAACTCGTTCAGGTGAGTTGAGCAGTCGCTTAGACACAATGTGGGAATACAATAACTGAAAACATTCTCAGAGATATCCTGAAAGTCCAGAATGTTTTTCTCAAACCAAATAACCTTGCTTATCTTCAGATAAAATTCTCAAATCTACTAAAAGTATTAAAAGCTAGAGGTTTGGAATTCAGAACATAAAACTGGCAACGTGTGATTTCCTACCTGGGTGAGCTGTATCTTATCAACAAGTCTAAAGTCTGTGAATACAAGTGTATGTAGAAGCCATATACATACTCCCTGAAGGCCCTTTTTTGCCTTCTAAAGTCATGCTATAGGAGTTTTCCCAAGGATAACATTCTCAGCAGCTGACACAGGGCAGGAAGCTAAAGACAAAAGAGAAACCTTCCATAGCTCTCTGACCAACTGGTCACAAACTTCTTAAATAAATAGCCCTCCAATGGACAGGTGTGAGCTCTGAGCCATCAGAACATAACCGGCCAACTCTTTCTCACATTTCTAATAAAAGCAAGCACATATGTGACACCTGGGAATATTTCAACACTTTAGGAGTTTCTGCTTGGTTGGTTGGTTGGTTTTTGAAAGAACTGTCCTGTGGTGGTTCAAATGTTTCCATAGAGAATTTATACCTACTGACAACAGGCTGCTTTCCTTCTGTTCCTTTCCTCAGAGCCCTTCCAAAGGCTTTTAGGCCCCCACATGGCCACCTGCCATAATTAATTAAACCACCTCTGACCACAACACCTGTGAAATGAAATTTTATAATAGCAGTCACTGATTTTTCTTCTTAATTTCTGAACAGACCTATGTGTATGAAGGAGTTGAAGCCAAGAGAATCTTCAAAAAGGAGTAAATACTTTACCAGAACAGCACTGGAATCAAAATCCTATTTTAAAAAAGACAATTTTTCTACATACACTTTTTTTTTTTTTTTAAATCTCCTCACAGCACCTCCTATATTGTGATTATTCACCCCTAATGAAAACACAAGTTTACATTTAGTATTTTACCTTGAATTAAAAAAAAAAAAAAAAAATCCAGTTAAAATTTGAAACAAAGACTAAAAAGTTACTTGTAGGAAGTCTTACCCGAGTAGCATACTGCAAAAGGCTGCCAAAACTATTTTCTATAATCAAAACTTCAATATTTTTGCACTGGTTCTTGAATAGCAACTTAACTTCCTTACCATGACATTTGTAGTGACAAATGGTTTCTCTGTGTATGGAGTATCGTGTAATAAGAATGGTAAAGCTTAAGAGCCCCCTGACAACAAGCAAGTCTCAAAAACTGTTATATGAAAATAGAAATACACAGTAAATAAAAAAATATGCTCTGATAATACAGCGCACTTTGTTGTTTTAAATCGCATCTCTGATACCTTGCTGACGTCAACAGGAGCAGTATCAAGCACTTACTGACAAGAGACAGATATCTCACACTGCAATTTTATAAGTTGGGTTTAAAAACTATGGCAATGCTTTGAAAGCATACAGGCTTGAGCTGTCCCCATTTATTGAGGGTCAAAGTCATTCTGTCAAGAAAGGTACTGGCAGCTCTGAGTGATTTTCTTTCAGGACATGAATGAAAATATTCAAGGAGTCTTAACTAGACAAAAAATGAGTTCAGATTAAGCTGACTTCACATGCAGTGCCTCTGATGGGTAACAAACAGGCACCACATTCTGCTCATGCTGCTTATTCTGCAGCTGCTAAATTCAACCCAGCCTCAATCCCCTGCAAGAGTGCTATTTCCTAACGCCCTCTGAGGGCCAGTACTCTGCCCCGTGCTTACTTCTGTTTCTCAATGGGCACAGTTACACTTTGATTTTAACGGCTTTTTTTTTTTTTTTTTTTTTTTTTTTTTTTTCCCCCTAAGTAATTGCTTAAGTTTGCCCCACTCTCCTTGACTTTTCGCTGGGAACAAACGAACTAAACAAAACCTTTCACCCTTCGGTTACTTCTTTAGCCTCTCTGGCCTACGCTCAGGGCTCCCCCTGCTGGCACCACGCCCTCATGGCGCGAACAGGATTCCACTCGAGACGATGACGCAACTCATTTCCTTATAAATTGGGATTTCCCCCGCCTGCCAGATATTGATCGTAATAGATAGTCTGCTCACCGTTCTACACAGCGAAGCTGCCTGCAGCCCTCGCAAAGTTGATGGAGCTGTCGGGTCTCAGCGCAGTGCAGCTCTGTGCGCTGGGAGCTCCCCTCACAGCATAAGCCACCACACGGCTTTCTGCGCTCTTAGGGAGCACAGCTAGCTATCGACGGTAAGCGCATGTCCCAAAACAGCTTCCAGTTTTCCCGCCTATCTTCACAGCAGCATTTCCGAGCTCATCCTTTAGCTTTCTCCAGGAAGCCACAACAAGAATTTGTGTACGCTCCCAGTCGAGTCCTACCATGGTTTAAGACGCAAGGCCAACGTGACGGGCGGGGGCTGATGTCTGTTTTCCACACACCTGACGGGGCACGCCGAGTGCCGGCAGGGAGCCGCGACCAGCAGAGCCTACGGAGCAGTGCAGGAACAGCACCGGCTCCGAGCCGGCCTCCCAAGACATGACTCCTCTCGGCAGCAGCGGAGGCGGGACTTCCCTCTTAGCCTATCTTTACCACACCGACCCGAGGCCCCGCCAGCTCCTCAGCGGCAGGGCTACCCGACAGACAGGGGGCAGAGAAGCCGTGGACAACTGCGGTATCCCGACCGCTGCGCGGTGCAGAGCTGTATAGCGCGGCCGCAGATAACGCCACAGCAAACACCACAGGCGACTCCGAGCTCGCGCCGGGCAGCAGCAAACCGCCAGCACCGGGGCGGACCGCGCGTCACGCGGCAAGGGCGGTGCCCGCGCGGGGGCGTGGCGGCGGGACGTGCGCTCCGCTCCCATTGGCTGCCCACCCGGAAGCGCAGCGAGCGTCTGCGCGCCGCGTACCGCGCCGAGCCTCTCGCGGCGGCCGCTCCGTGCCGAGGAGATGGAGGCGGCCGTGCGGCGGTGCCCGCAGCCCGAGGAGGAAAGCGCGGCGAATGGAGAGCGGCCGCCGGCCCTGTCGGGGCAGTCCTACTGGCTGGACCTGTGGCTCTTCGTCCTCTTCGACGTGGCGCTCTTCGTATTTATCTACCTGCTGCCCTGATGGGCCGGGCCCAGGTCAGTCGGGGCGAGGCCGGAGCGGGGCGGGTCCCCTCCAGGCGGCAACGGGGGGGCAACCGAGTGCCGTGTTGTCCCGCTCGCCGTGAAACGAACGTCTCGCAGTCGAGTCCGTCACCTCCCGCCTGAGCGCCCTCTCGCACAGGCTACTGCTGCCACGCGGGACAATCTGCTGCGACACGGAAGTTTCGGGTTAATGAGCCGTGAAGCAGAGGCCGAGATTCACGGACAAAGAGCGGTAAATGCAGATGTAATTCAGAACAACTAGCAGCTTGGCTTCTTTCGACAAAAGCGCTTCACTTTGTAGGTCGGGCAGTACACCGGATGCAGCTTTCATGCTAGCTGCATCTCCCAAAGGCTGTACAGCTCTGAAAGTAACCAGAGCTTTCTTTTTTCCACAGAGCTCGTGGATCAGGAATCACTGGACGCACCTTCGGAACACAAGCAGGAGCATTTGGAGGAGAAGCATTTGCACAGCACAGACAGCAATGGAGAACGAGACTTCCATTGATGGAAAGGCAGGAAGCTCCTGAGCTGGAGAGACGCGTGCATGCTGTATTGCTGTACAGCCCACGATATATTGCAAGTATGGTCTTTAGGATCGTGCCTGTATCTTGCCTTTCCCTGTTCTAAATTGTGCCTTTCAGGACAGGAGACAGCTTGACTGTGCTTTTGTAATTTGCTTGAAGAATATAAATGAAAATATGCACTGTTTGAATAAAATCCAGCAGAGACTGAAATTGTTACTGACTTATTTGTTCAAAAGATGAAACTTAGCCCATTTGTCTTGCTTTTGAAAAATTTACCTCTCTCTGTACAGGAGTGCATGCAAGATTCTTGCTTCAGCAGTTACTGTGCCAGTGCACAGTAGCTGCTGCCCTCACCTGCTGATCTACGTAATACAAGTTCTGATTTCCTTGCCAGTGAAGGAAGAAGCTTACAAGAGCACTCTTAGGCAATTGCCAGGTTTCACATACCCCACTCCCCTCAAAAATTTCTAAGTCTCTGCCTATAATGAGGCTTTCAAAAACAATGTTGCATCAGTGAACATCTTGAATGCTCAACTTGCTTGCTAGACCAATCAGGTTTTTAGGAAGACTGTGGATGAAGGCAGTTCAGTATCTCTACTCTTTATTTTCACCTTATTAATAATTTAAGAGGTATAATTTGATTTTTCAGAAATATAAAATGTAACTGGATTTCTGAGTTCGGTTGATCCAGTATTTTCTGACACCACCAGACAGGAGCTTATTTTCATTTAATACAATATTCAGGACACAGAATTAGGTATGCATGCTCTATTTTCTTTTTTTTTTTTCATTCTTAAGCAGTTCTTCATTGATGCTGATTTTCATTACATATTCAACTTGTGTATTCAGAAATAAGACTGATGCTTTAAGAACTGAGTTACCGTTAACTGCTAGTGTTTATGACCTATGAAAATGTCAGTGGCTTAAAATCACAGGAAAAAAAAAAGTGAACAGGGCTTGGATTCTCACAAATAGGAAAATGGTTTCCTTTTTATTTTTCTACAGCTGAACTGAACTTATTATAGAGGTAAGTTTACTTTTGTTTCCCCTCCTCCCCCCAGAGATTTCACTGTAAAACCGCAAAGGAACAAGCTACTAGAGAAACACTAAAGCTGCTTCATTTCTCCTTTGTAAGGAAGACTGTTGAGAATAAATCCTGACAATTTTGACAGAAGAGCCATTAGGTTAAGAGAACGTAATGTAGTGATTTAGTTTTTTCTTTCAATTGAGTCTGAAACAGAAGGTTTTACATATCTCAGAAAACTTAAAAGCTATCAAAGCACAGGCATGTGCTGCTTTGAGCTCATATTTCATAGCTTGAATAACAGCATCAAGACAACCTTCATTTGTAACTAGGTACAGCAAAACCGTACTATATTATATACTATATAGTATATTATATAGACTATATTAGAAAGCCAACTATAAACCAGTACTTCAGGTGATGAATTTTACTGTTTAAATATGGTCACAGAACCACCGTCTCTTTAAAGCTTTCAAGCATTACTATTAGCTATCATTTTTTAAAAGTGTGGTTCTGGAAAGCCAGGGTGTGGTTTCATTTTTGCAGGTTTACTTCTTGTTTTTAAGGAAAGCGCAGCATACAAAAAGAATACAGACAAAGATATTTTATATTTTTATCTGATAATCTGAACAAGCAGAACTTTGCAAGAAAATAATTCTACAGACTGAAAAATATATTAATTACAAGACTTATTAATGTATTTACTGTTAAAAATATGTCTAGGCTCTTATACAAATCTATAGCCAGGAGGGGATATTTATAAAAAAATAAATAGGCACCCTACGTAAGTCAAGACAAGTTATCACTTATTTGTTAGCAAATATTACATACATACATACATGGAGTGCACAGTCAAATATAAAAACAAAGGTGTCTTAATTAACTGTTCTACTATTATAATTAAACACCTGGTAAACATGGGTCATGTAAAAAGTTGTCTGGTAAGATTGTTTCAAGCAAAGCAAGGAGACAGAAGTACATCTAAACTACTGCATCTACTTTAAAAATAAGTTTTACCAGTTGTTTGGAAACCAAATTCATTGGCATCAGTAACAGGCATTCATATTGCTTATTGTACACAAGTATGAACATTGCTATGCATGTTTAAAAACTGTTATAACATCATTCACAGTTGTTGCTGTGCTATTTATACATAAAAATACTGTCATTTCAAATACAATTTCTGCAAACATTTTACAAATTATACATTATTTACAAATTCCATACTCTTTGTTTGTTTGTTTGTTTTTTACACAAGTATTAGAAGACAGCTTTACTCAAATGTTATGTATAGCATATAACATTGCTGTAGGAACATTAGAAAAAAATTAGTTTACAAGTTTTGAAATCTCTTTCAAAAATAAGACAACTAGGAATCTTCCAAGGTTTTTCCACACTCAAGGCTTTTTCTCTGGTTTGTTTACAAAAAGATACTTAAGTTTACCACCAACCCTTCCTAAACATGCATAATTGTTTGCTACAAACTCCAGAATTCATTTCTCAAGTGCTATAAATTCTCATCAATAAGGTAAAAAGGTTCATCTAAGATACCTGGTTTCTTGCATATGTTGTGTTCCAGTTTCACTACAAGTTACAAGTAGTTTAAAACACTGACCATGAAGAACAACCAAATGTGTAACTTTGTTCATTGTTAGAGTTCAACCAAATGTCAATATTTGGTTGAAGCACTAAAGCTCACACATAAGGTGTATAAACATAAAAAAGCCTTTCTGACTAGCAGTGCAAGCATAAGTGAGAGTGGTTTCCATGAATATTTAACCTGCTTGCAATATTTTCCTAACTAAAAGGCATTTATGTTTAGATATAGTCAGCAGCACCCAATTTTTAAGATAAAACTAACAGAAATAATTAAAAAATTCAGCCTTTCCAGATTAATTTTAAGTTATACATTACTTAGAATAGACTGAAACAGAACTCTAAGCCTACGCTTCTGACTCAGCAACACAGAGTGGGTTATTTCAAACACTCAGGGCTGCCATGAGGGTGAAATCCTGTTCACCCACCTCCCACCTGTGCACTGATTTAACATATAACCAAATAAAAGATAAATTAAACTTCTCTTCTGCTTTTTTACTGAATTAAGTCAGACTAGCGAAAGACACAGTAAATGCCAAACCTGCCAAAACAGCAGGGCAGAGTGCTAGAACAGAGAAAGAAGCTTTTTCTTCACACTACTCCAGTCTGAACAGCTGCAGGATCAGTCACACTTAGTTGCTATGACAGTACTTAACTATTTGTAGAATTGTTTCAAAGAGGTAAAGTTTGTCAGTAAAATCATGTATAATCCCCACTAAATGTTACCAAAACATCAAGCTGAAAAGGTAAGTTCAATAAATAACAACAACCTCCATAGGGACACTGTTATCTAGCATGCTGTCTAGCATTTCATCTTGAAAGAGTCCAATAATAGGTTTTCAAGATGTGGCTGAACAGAGCACTACATTATCTCAAAGCCCCCTTTTCTCAAAAAAATAAAAAATTGGACATGATTATCTTGAGATCCATTCCAACCTGGGCTTGGACTGGTCTTTGATTCCATGATTCTGAAACCCTGTAAAAATATGCATTTGAAAGTTGTATAGTAACTCTGTATTTTAAAATTAGCATCGCTACTGCTCTGTTTGTAGTTTATGTAACTGAGTTTCAGTAAGGATACAGCTTACAAGATAAACAAATCTGATAAGCAAGTTTAAGAATTTGTACAGAGCAGGTATATTAAAAGAATAGCATTACCATAGTTTATTTACTTGTCACTACTGCTGCACAGTATTGAGCAGGGGAGGCAGGAACAAAGCAAGACAGCCCAGGGAGCCCTGCTCTTTGCTGCCTTGCAGCACTGGCAGCTTTAGGGCTTTGCTGGGCTCCTTGTGCTCTGTTGGTGCCTCAGGAAAAGAAGACATAAGCTGGTTAGCAGCAGGAAGCAGGATAGTTCCCCAGGTTAGGAGGACAAGAAGGACAAAGAGGCAGACAACGGCTCCAATGAGAAAAGCAACGTGGGCAGAGTTTGGGCCAAGAGCACATCGTGGCCAGTACTGTACATGGCTGACAAGTGCCAAGTAGTGGAACA